CTGGTTATGCTGTGTTTGATGCACCCCAGGATGCGGTTTGCCTTCTTGGCTGCCGGGGCACACTGCTGACTCCTATTGAGCCTGCTGTCGACCAGCACCCCAGATCCCTTTCTGCAGGGCTGCTCGCCAGCCACTCCTCTCCCAATTTATACTTGTGCCCAGTGTTACTCCGTCTAGCATTTGGACTTGCTAAATTCCATGCCATTGATGATTGCCCAATGCTAGTATTTGTCCAATGTTAAATACTAGTATTTATTAGCAATTAAATACTATAGTACTTAAAATCTAAATTGGTCTAATAGAGTGTGTATATGTATATGTAGAGAGAGATAACATAAATATATGCTATTAGACCATTTTATTAAACTTAAGGTCCTCTTATTGTGTGCATTTTTCAATGCAAAGCTTTTTCCTCAGTTATTCCTCTGGATCCAATTAGCTTTTTATTTCAACATAAAGAAATCAGACATAAAATGAGAAATAACTATTTTAGTCTGAACAAAAGAAAAAGGCAGATTGTGGAAACGATCATGTGGGGAGTTGTGTGATAATTCCTCTGACAGTTATGAGTGTTAGTTTAGATATTTTTGTAGCATATCTATAAAAATTCTTCAAAACACATTACAAATTGTGGTGCTTTCACTTCTCTTAACTCTTCTCACACCATTTAAGGCACTACTTCAGTGTGGAGGAGTTGTTTTCATGTCCCATCTTCCAGAGACAGGTGATTGTTTAGTTTTGATATTTCAAGCCCTCTTGCTTGCAAACTAATAAAGAAATTTGTAAATGAAAACTGTGAACTTGGAGTATCAGAACACAGATAAATCCCTTCTCAAAGCTTCTTTTTTATTATTTTATGATTAACTGTTTAAAATCTCTTCCTTTTAGATATCTGAAATACGTTAGCTTCCTGATATGATGAACAGATCTTACTGTAAGCAAACAACAAAAGCATATGCATGCTTTTCTCCAAGGATTCAGAATATGCAGGAAAGGGAAATAAAGTTTAATTGCTTATTTTCAAATCTTCACATTTTTATATGACTAGTTTCTCTCCATTTTAAAACTCTTTTTTTTTCCCCCGACAAACTGAATTAATGTCCCATTGCAACAATGAAAGGCCAAGTATTGAATGCAGTAAGCAATTTACCCTTTCTTCTCTAGAGAGGGTCTGTCAAGGTCATGACTGAGGCATCTGAGGCAACGGTAGTTAGCTTCAGAGCTGTGAAATAGAGCTGTTTATTCTTTTCCTGCTCTGTTGTGTGATCTTGCTGTGCTGCTATTGACTTCAGTGACCGTAGAACTGGGACTCTTTACAAAGAAACAGCAGCCTTGTTTGTAGACCAACAGTAACAACGCGTATTTCCTGTCCTGAGCAATATTAACAAACACTAGCTCTAATAGTATTTCTGGTGCAAATAATTGTTGTTGCACAGGCAGAACTGGAAAAGTGCTCTCTTTGTCATCCCAATGGATACAGCTCAATTATTTTAGTTGTGAGCTTCCCACGGTGATGTGCTAGAGTATCTCAATACTGATTTGGAAGAGGCAGTCCTAAGTCTAAGACACTACTAAGGTGCCTGTGGCTATGAATGATATATGTTGTCTTCTATCAGAAGAGGAAGATACTATTTTAACACAGTAAAATTCCCTTTATAACCAATAGACATATTAATTGAAAACAGTGCTGGGACAAAATCCTTTTTTTGAGACTGTTAACAAATATGCCAGCATGTGTTTACTTTTGAAGAGATGAAATGGTCTTTGCCATCACACAGAATGGAAGAAACTGATTTTAGAATCACATCATTATCATAACAAATCAAATGGTGTTCTGGCCAAATCTACTGAAAATAATTCATCTCTGGACAAAGAGTAACTCTGGAAAATTTCAGTCAATAAAGTAACATTTTTGAAACATTGAAAATTATTCAAAAATTACAATAGAATATAAAAATATATGCAGGTTTGATGATAATAGTTTTTGCAATGTTGTTGAATGTTTTTTTGTAATTCCAAGCTAAAGGACTCAATGAGTCCAGACACTTCACTCAGACATCTTTTTCTCTCCCTATCTTTCTCTTTCTGTCTGATAGGAATAATAACATGTGCCACTGAACCATACATGCAATTAAGTGCTTAATGATAATCTGGCTTTTAGAGTCATTTTATCACTGCCTGTACTTTGCCACCTAGAAAGTTCTCTCTCCATTTTACAGACTAAGTGGTTCTTTATAACAAATGACATTGTATTTTACATCGTACCCTTTTCTAAAAGGTATGAAAAACTGTGGCATATACTTTCATGAGTCTGGTCTTTTCTTTTTTCTTTTTTTTTTCTTTTGTTTAACAGATATGTTAGATCAAGAACGAAGCATGACATTGACATGAGAATAGGGATACATTCGGGATCGGTTCTGTGTGGAGTGCTGGGCCTGCGAAAGTGGCAGTTTGATGTCTGGTCATGGGACGTGGATATCGCAAACAAACTCGAGTCAGGTGGAATTCCTGGGTAAGGCAACATTTATGTCCCACAGTCAGAAAACATTGCCAACACAGTACACTGTTAACCTAGCCAACAAATTAACTGTTACACTATTGGATCAACTATGACCTTTTTTTTTTTTTTTTTGCTATTTTGCGGTTTGCAAGGATTTGTGAGGCTACAGTCAAAAAGGTAGAAATGGTCAGCTTGCAGAGGCATTGGAAAAGACAAAAATATTTATTTTTCTTTGCCAGCTGTGATTTCCTGAAAAAGGTCAGTGGTTGTGTTCAGCCCATGTAATACTCAGAAGTAGCCTAAGTTTTTCCAGGCTTCATTCTCTTGTCCTTTACATTCAAATGCTGTTTTGAGGCACAAGGCTGTGGTTTATTTTATTTCATAATGCACAAAGTGTGGGAAGAATTATGTGTTTGTAGGTCATTACACTAATAACAAGGCGTTATGGACAGCAGGCTCTCTGGGAAGTCTTTTAAATAATTTGATGCTTTAGTAAATGTTTTGAGACATTCACGTCAGCCTATCCATATGCGATAATATATGGTTTTCCACTGAGCTGCCTAGTTTTTCTTTGTCTGAGGTGGCTGATTCACCTGGAAGATAAAATGTTATTTCTGCCTGACATGGCCTATATGTCACGGTAGTTTGGAAGTTGCAAATCCTAAATTTGAAGCAACAGTAGTGGTTGCAGGAATCCTCTGTTTACTTTCAGTTCCACCTTCCATTGATGAAAGATGTAGCAAAAGATCCCCTACGACAATTTGATTTTTGGCCATGGAACACAGAAGCGATAGCAGCGAACATCTTTATGCAGAAAAAGTCTAAGTGATGCTGTCATCTTGAGTGAAAGAGGTTTTAAGTCTTCAAATCTGAGTCATGTGCTCTACTCCCTACACACACATCAGGGTCTGTCAGAGCTGTCATGTTCCCAGGAAGTTAGAAAGATACTTGCTTTATATTGTATTTGCAAATGTGGGCCCCTTCCACTGTTCCCCGTAGTAGCCTTTTATACTAATATGCATTCTTAGAATCAGCAGAAAATGAAACATTGCATGCTCTGAAAACAACTTCTATACTCTGCATATGTCACCAGTGTATAAAACTGAAGAAAAAGTTTTCCTTCCCTGCTGCTTATCCCACATGATAGCCCCAGATGACTAAGAAAGGTCACATTTTGCTTTGTTAACATAAGCAAATCAATCATCTAAGTTTCACCATCCGCACCTTCAGAAAGTCTAGTTTATTGCTGTTAATGTGCACAAGTAGTATGGCTATTAATGAATAACCCAGAGAACGCACCACCTTGCTGTTGCTGATAAAATGCCTGGCCAGGTTGCAGTCTATTGGAGCAGAGTGATTTCTACTCCTGTGTATCAGTTTGCCAACAGAACAAAGCCTGTATGTGACAGCAATTCACTAAGTCCCTCAAAAGAGTGATTTACATCAGGCTTTCCTGGTGCACAGAGCAGACTTAATAGAGCAGTTAAGTTCACTGCAGCCTCTCCTTACTTCTCCCTGCCGCCAGCATTCAAATCCCCCTGCCTGCCACAATACCGAGGTCATTCCCATTCCCAGAGCTGCACTGCTTTCTTCTGTTTTGTCAGAAAAGCTGCCCTGGAGTTATGGATGGTCCTGCTCCCACAGTGTGAAACAAGAGCAAAGATGAACCACAGCCCTTCCCTGAGCGCACAGCGGAGGGAGGCAGCTCGCCTGCCCGGGATGGAGAGGATCCCTCCACCCAGTCTGGGGGCAGGAGAGAAGGGGCTCAGCTCTTCCCCTCGCTGGTTGCATATCACCCCGAGACCTCATAAGCATGGGTGTTGCAGGGACAGATTGCCCCCCAAATGAAGGAGCATAAGCGGGCAGCTGAACTGTCATGGAAGGAGGCACTTGGGAGCACTGAGAAAAAGTAATCATTTCTGTTTTTCTGAGAGGAAAAAAATGTGTCCACAACACCTCAGAAGGAAACCATGTAAGATCCTACAGTGTTATTTCAGAGACACTCTTCCACCAGGACCCCACCTTCTGATAGTCTTCACCTGGTGTATCTAGGTATTAATCTATGGTATTGAATTGGCATAAAACCTAGATAATTATTAATTTTCCAGGACGTATCAATGACAGGTATCATCTAAAGCTTTGGGCCTGATATGTTTTCAACAGTAGGACAGGCTATACCTTTTTACTTCAATGCTCAGGTTCCCTATTTACTTCATTTGTATAAAATTAGAAACACATCTCTCCACTATACATTTTAAGGTTTTTTAAGTAAGCTGTACAAAAGGTGAAACCAGAAAATGTTTTTAATCTACCAACTATTTATTAATATTTGGTGCATTTAAGAGTATTACTTCGATAGCCAGCTCCACGCTCTAGTTAAAGCTGTTATCATTTCCATTATAAAATCCATATTTCAGGGCTTTATAATGCAATCTTCCCAAATTATATTAGTGGAAACTCAGCACAAAGATAGTCACCCTGGCAACTAATGTATCATTTTCTTTTCTTTCTTCTTTTTCTCTTTTTTTTTCTTTTTTTTTTTTTTTTAATTAGTACTTTACTTAAATCAATTTAGTCTATTTGGGTTTCTAAGAGCTAGGAAATGCATTGTCTTTCTGAGAGATCATATGATCTGGTTTTAAAGTCCAAGCCAAAAGTTACTTATATTTGAGAAACATTTTTACTGGTTTTTATTGTCAGTTTTACTGACATTTGACTACAAAAGGGTACTAATCTCTGTGGACATCATAACGACATGACTTCAGGCAGTGAAAGTTGTACAAAACCTGTGTTGACTTCAGAGGGAAGCTGAGACAGGTTAGAAAATGGCTGAGATGATACAAATTTTTGATCTTTTAATTATATGCTGACATTTAGTACTCTACATAGACCCAGTTTGTGCCAAATTCTGATACTCCTGGGTATTTCACGATGCTTAAAGACAACCAGCACTTCATTTTTTGGCAATGCATGCACATCATACATGTGCTTATAGCCTTTCTACTCCAACAGTATTTTATGTGATTTAACCCTGTAGTGGCATCCTTTAAGTTCCAGAAGAAAGTTCCTAAGGGGTGTTCTAGGACCATTTCCTTCAGTGGAGACAAGCCAATTTGTGGTGCCTGAGAAAAATGCCTCAGCAGGTGTCATTAAGAAATTATCAAGAATTTTAGGTGACTGAATTTTAGGAATCTGTCTGCAAGCCTGACTTTCAAAAAGTGCCATGCATCCAAATTTGAAAAATGAGCTGATTTTAAAGTCTCTTAATGGAGTCACTACATTTATTTACTTGAGTTAGCTAAGTGCCTGATGAACACCTCCTCTTATTGCATTTATTATGCTGCATTGTAAAGTATAGCATGGCTAGCCATGTGGATGTGTTTTAGAGGTGCCTGCAATTTACCCTACATGTAGGAAGTTGAAGATTTCTTAAAAATAGAAATAAAACCTACTTTTTCTCTCTTTTTTTTTTTTTAAACTTGAACTTCTTTCTGTCCTTCTCAAGCAGTCATAATTACGGTTAAGAAAGTCCAAATACCAAGCACCTCCAGGTTTGGTTGGAAGACATCCAAAGCCTTATTACTTTTTTGCAAAATTTGAGCTTTCTGTATGTCATTGCTTAGATTCCATTTCACTTTTGCAAAAGCTTTTTGAACTCATCACTTAGTCTTCCCAGAAATTATCACCCCACCTGCCTTTACATAGTTTCCCTATTTCCCTAATTTACTTCAGATGCAATCAGACCACCAATTTCAACTGTCTAAGCTACCTCAGGTAAATGAAGGAAATTAAAGAGCTTTCACACAAACTGCTCTAATGCATACCATATATTTTCCTCTCACCATATTTACCTGAAGTGCCAATTTTCATTCACTCTGAGTAGTATTTTACTCAGGAAGGTCTCCCATTAAACTATTACTGTGAGCAAAAGTATCAGGTGTGAATATCAGTGTTTTTCCTGTGACAGGACTTTGTGCATTCATGAGATCCTATTGATGTGAACATGCCTTGAGTATTTGTCCCCAAATGAAGCTCGTGTCTGTTGAATACACTATTTCATTTTCTCTATAGAAATCATCATATACAATAGAAAACCTTCTATTTATCCATCATGTTAAAAATGAGGCAGAGTTCATAAACTCCTTCTTACTTATGTGTACTAGAGCACAATCAGTATTTGCTACTACTTATTTCATTTATGCAGGAGAATTCACATCTCCAAAGCCACTCTGGACTGCCTGAATGGGGATTATAAAGTTGAAGAAGGGCATGGCAAAGAGCGTAATGAATTCTTGAGGAAACATAACATTGAGACTTATTTAATTAAACAACCTGAGGAGAGTCTATTGGCTTTGCCTGAAGATATTGTGAAAGAGGCTGTTAGCTCCTCCGACAGGAGAAACAGCGGAGCAACGTTTACCGAAGGATCCTGGAGCCCTGAACTTCCATTTGATAACATAGTGGGAAAACAGAACGTAAGTCAAACTTCCTTTAATATCACCAAGTATGAATGCATGCTTGAGTGCTTTTCAATAACGGAAGCCTCAGAGGAGACGTATTCATCTTTAACCTTTATTCTAACACATACTGTAACAGCAGAGGACTAAACAAATTGTTTCAGGGCAGAAATAAATCATGTATCCAAACCGGGGAAATGCCAGGGGACCAGAGGTTTTGACGCTTTTCCAACTGAAATTAAATACTACACAGCTGAGTTTTAATTGAACCAGTCCATAAAGAAGTAAATTAAAAGTAAAGCTAATGTTACTAAACTAGCTGGGACATTCTAGTCAGTGTGCATCTCATTGCATAGCTTCACTGCACTGCCATCAAAGTAAAGGGATGAATGAATGGATGTTTTGCCCGAGGAAAAAGCAGTGTAGGTTGTTGATCTATAAGGGAAAGAAAAAAGATCTACTTTAAAAAAACACCTTGTGAAAACAATTTGTCCATTCTTCACTTTTCTCTTTTTTCTTTTTTAAATAAAAAACATTAAAAACTTAGATTCTAAGACATAATTAAGGTTCACTAGCAGGTGAGTTAGCCTCTAAGGTCATGCATAGCTCAATAGAAATATGAGATAATAAAAACTGCTCTTGATCAGATCTTTCCCAAAAGCATTGCATGACTAATTGCTAGCACCCCAGGAACCAGCAATTCTTGTACAGTCATAAAAATCATTTGTAAAGTCTGCTTGCTTAGAGGAATTAAAGATGGAAAGGTTAAAATGCCCTGAAACACCACTCTCTTCACTGCATTTGAAAGATTGATGAGTCTTTATGAAACAAGGTCAGCTGGAGTTTTCTTCCATTTTTCTGAGGGATCTGTAAGGACATGATATATCCTTTCTTCTGCTGCACATCCTTAGTCCTATTTGTCTGCACTGTCTGTTGAAATTCAAGCATTGTTGTGTGGAGATCTTGCTTTGTCAACAGTGTTCCGCTTCTTACAAATCTGCTCAGAAGTGATAAGCCTTCACAATCAATCAGGCCATGGTGGTCTCTTCATTTCTTCAAACTGAACTGGAGCATGGCATAATTTGCTGTTATATAAAACATCTTTTTTATATATGTTCTGTACATCTGTGTATCTGCATGTACACTGCCTTTCGGTGTTCAATGTAGTTTGTTGACCTGTCTCTATATTCTCATTTCATTAGGAATAGAGGTATGAGTGCATGCTGCTGTGAATATCTTCTGATCTCTCTCTGTTTCTTCTTTCCCTTTAAGACATTCCAATTTCTGTAGTCCAAAAAATATATGCAGAGTAGGCTATCATTTCATCAATTATTTTCTCAGCTAAACTTGACCTTGATACTAACAAAGAGGAGGAATGAAATAAAGGATTAGTGTCTTTATTCTATTATTCAACAACTTCCACTCAGTAAACTAGTAAAAAAGTTCATGAAAATTGTTGAAATAGGTATAACTAAACAGTTGTTTTGAAGCAAATTTTTGTCTTATGACAATAAACAACCCATTTTTAGAATAGTTTCTCACTGTTTTTTTAAGAACTTGTTGTTCTGCTGGAAATAACTATAATTTTATATTATACAGCTTTACAGTTAGCTTTCTGGTGGAGACAAGATTTAAAAAATCTGCTATTCCATGTGTGGTTCAATTATGTAATTTACAATTTTAAAGTTGAGACAATAGGCATTACTGCTCATAAATAATGTATTTTAGCTCAAAATTCAGATGATAGATTTAAATTATATTAGGATATAGTAGCTTTTTCCAGAGGTGTGTCAGCCTTGGACAGAATAAGCATTTAATAATATTAATTATGCCACCTAAGGGTCACTGGCAGCAGCAGACATTGAAAATCCAAGTAGCAGCAACAAAACAATGAATTTGAAATTGAAAACTCCATACATTTGAATATTTGCCAATGCCATTTAAATGGTTTCTTTACCCAATATAAGTTAAAACAAAATTTGAGAAACTCTGATCACGTGTTTTACTTTTAGCTGTAGTTATGCTAGGAAGAATATGAAATGGAAAAGTCTCTGGTGAGTTCTCTTGCCAAACTCAAATTCACCACAATTCATATTCTTCACCTCAACCTCATTTTCTATGGGCAGCCTAAGACAGTGAATTGAAGTTGTGTTGATATGAGTAAGGAACAGAATAGCTACTCTTTATGTACGCAATCACAGACATTAACAAAAGCTGCATGTGTCTACAGCACAGTTAGCACCATGTGTCTTAGCCCTGGTGGTGAGGTAAGCCAAGGATGCAAGTGTCTGCTCTGAAATTCAGACCATGCCCAATATGGATGGAGTTTTCTGTTACTGAAACAGGTGTCTAGGCTTCTTTTCTAAAGCACAGGAAGTTGGACAGAAGTTATTTTATGTTAAGAGAGTGAAGGCCCATTTTCCCAGAGAAGTTGTAGATGGTTTCCCCATCCCTGAAAACGTACAAGGTCAGGTTGGATGGGGCTCTGAGCAACCCAATCTAGTTGAAGATGTCCCCGCTCATTGCAGGGGGGTTAGGTTAGATGACCTTTAAAAGTCCCTTCCAACCCAAACCATTTGTCATGGTTTAACCTCAGCCGGCAACTGAGCACCACACAGTCACTTGCTCACTCTCCCCACCCCCAGTGGGATGGGGGAGAGAATCGGAAGAATAAAAGTGAGAAAACTCATGGGTTGAGATAAGAACAGTTTAATAATTGAAATAAAATAATAATAATAATAATAATAAAAGAATATACAAAGCAATTGATGCACAATGCAATTGCTCACTACCCGCCAACCAATGCCCAGCTAGTCCCTGAGCAGTGGCCCCTCCAGCCAGCTTTCCCCCAGTTTATATACTGAGCGTGACATCACATGGTATGGAATAGCCCTTTGGCCAGTTTGGGTCAGCTGTCCTGGCTGTGCCCCCTCCCAGCTTCTTGTGCAC